GCGCAGGGGTGCATTCGTACCGAGAAGACGTCTGACGGTGCGCAATTGCGCACGCTATTTGAGGCCCTCTTCGAACGCTCTTGGGTTCCTTTAAGCTCCCTTGGGGCACAAAGAGGCTCCCAGGAGGCTCCGAGATGGTTCCGTGAGGGCACCAAGACGGCTCCAAGACGACCCCTGGAGATGTGCAACGGCCATAGCAGAGGCTTCCAAGATTGCCCCAAGACCGCCCAAGAGGCCCCTAAGACGGCCCAAGAGAGGCCCAAGACGGCCCAAGAGAGGCCCAAGAGAGGGACCACGAACTGAAAATTCAGCTTCCCGCCCTAAAAGGCCCGCAAAAGGCCCCAAGAAGCCCCCAAGAAGCCTCCGTAGCCATTTTGGCTCAAGCCATTTTGGCTCAATCGTGGCTCGACAGCTTCGACTTTTGGGTTCGTGCTCCCCGCGCGCTTCGGCACTGGACGCGGCCGCCTGAGGCGAGCGTGGCGTGCCCCATCAACTGCCGCTGCGACTATGGCATGTCTGGCATCTTGTTGGGCATATTTGTAATTCTCGCCGCGGGCGTGTTCACCTTCTTTCCCGTCTTCCTGAATTGGTTCGCGTGGGAGTGGTACATCGACCTGTGCTGGCTCTGGTTTTGCCTCGGGGTCGTCATCCTGACGTTCGCCTGCGTCTACGAGTGCTGCGTCGGCGCTCCCGACGCGAAGGCCCGGAAGCCAGAGGCGGACGTCGAGGACGGCGCCGTGAATGCCCTTGCGCTTTACATTATGATCAACAACTAGTGAGTTTTGAGCCCGAGTTCGACGCTACGCCTGTTGAACTTGTAGACCGTTCATCATGTGTGTCCTCCACATGTTGCGATCTGCGTTGCCCCGGGTACGCTCGTGCAAACTTGCGACATACAGCGACAGACTCAGGTGACATGAGTATTGCTGCAAAGCGGAGGGGGGAGAACAAAAAGAACCCCCCAAGAGGCCTCGACAAGCGCCCAAGAGGCCCCCTGGAAGCCCCAAGAGGCCCCCAAGAGGCCCAAATGAGGCCCCAAAGCTGCTCCCGAAACGCTTCAAAACAGCTTTCCAGAGGCCCCCGAGAGGCCAACCACGACGACGACGACGACGACGACGTCGACGACGACGACGACGACGACGACGACGACGGCCGGAGTCAAAACTGTGTACATCAAAATGCCCCGCTGGCACAAGGCGA